ATGGTGATTATGAAACATCAACATAGAAGATACCATGTATAGGAAGAGAAAACTGTTGCAAACATATAACTGATCGATGAAAAATCTTTAGATACATAAATCCACAACCACAAGTGAATAAAAAACAATATTTGAGAGAAACGTATGATAACCGGTGCAAATTAGTTCTTTCACAGTAGGATGCATAGGTGGACATTTAATTGAAGATTTGATTACATAATAAAACAAATTCAACGAAAGAAGCTTTAAAATAGGTTAAAGCTCAAGTTTATTGCCATAACATAGCTACTAAATTTATAGAGCTACCAAATTGAATTTATATTTGTTTGACGCAATATTTAACCATTATATAAAAAGACTGTCTTGTTATAAAGAAAAACCACGTCAAAGTTAAACACATGAAAATTACATACGCATCCTTGAAAAATCAACTCCAATTCATCAAACACACAGTAAACTAGTTTCAAATTTTGAATTTGTTTTTATAACATCAAACTTAAATCCGTTAGAGATAATTACATAAATTCGATGAATAATTTGAAAGCATACCTCAACAAAGAAAACTAAGAAGGCTTGCATCACTATCCATCCATATCTACGGTCAGAACAAAAGATGCGATTTAAATCCTATTAAAATGAACTATTAAATTAATAAAAGAAAGAAAAATGATATACACATTATTATATAAACTTCAAAATTGATAGCATTAGAAATATGGTTCCTTTTTAAGATAGGCTTCCTCTATTTTAAACTCTTGAGGTTTAAAAAAAACATATATGACGCTCCCTCCTATAGTTGTGGGTGCCTGCGTGCATAAATATGTACCGAAAAAAGAGTAAATTAAGCCAAAGCACTAGGAGAGTAAGATGGAAGTTGGATACTTCTGTTCATGTAATTAGATAACAAATTGCAATTTGAGTAATTTCAAATGAAAACAAACCCTTAAGATATGATTTCAGCTACCTAGACAAATTGAATCCAAAGATGGAAAATTAAAATCGAACCTGAGAAAGTAAATGAAAAAAAATTAAACATATGAATCCAGAAAATAAAACAAATGGAAAATCAAAATAAAAACAAATTAAAACCTCCGGAGCGATTTGTTGGGTTTTATTAGCATCAATACACCATCTAAATGTAGCGAAAACAATCAAAAAATTTACCTAAATGTACATGCACCCTAGATCTAGGTTTTACTAGTTATATCAACTAACTTTAAAAATCAACTAGAAAAGCATACTAACCTCTTGATTGCTTGATTTGTATCTCGTACGTGCTAGTGCTTGCAATGTATGAATAATCTAAACTAGAATCTCTCTAATGTAGTCACACCAACAAACACCAAAAGAAAAAGGAACAAAACCTAGGCTAAGGTATAAATCAAAATACTCTAACCCTAGGAGAGAGGTTAGAAATTTCATGTACTTGGAGAGAGGTGTAATGCCTGATTTTCCTGGTAAACTCTTTAGCAAAACTATCTTATTTTTTTTGCTTGTCTTGGACCTGAGTGCGTTGGGCATACATATGGTACACCGGGCGTACTCCAATGGATACTCGAGGCAGGATGTTCCCCTGGTATGCCGAGCGTACCCTTGCGTACGTAGGGCGTATGTGAGTAAGGGGAAAACCCTAATTTTTAGGGTTTGCACCCTATTTAAGCAAATTAAGTCCCCCAAGACCTTCACCTTATCAGCCTCCATTGCCTTTTTGAGCTAACTGCGGAACCCTAATCCATTTTCCAAAGAGATTGACCTTGTGTGTGTGTGTTTTGTGTGTATGTGGTGTATCTTGAAGAAGAAGAAGACTAGTGGAGAAGTATTGAACAAGAGGGAGCTTGTAGATCTAGAGCTTATTCACCCTTTCTAGCTTATTGACGGTATAAAGTTCATACCTTGATGATTTATCTCTTAGTTCTAGATAGTTAAGGTTTTTTGGGTTATTTTCATCCCTAAAGTTGTTTCTTAGGAGTATAAGCTACTCCAAAGGGTTATCATGATAGATCTTAGTGTTTTTGATGTCCCTTGTTGATGTGAATATTTAATGCACTAGTTTTTTTATTTATAATTCCTAATTTATCGCATCTAAACCACACCTTACAGACAGTGAACCCAATCGAGTATAATATAGCTTTGATAAGCAAGGGTGTCGAACACAAGGGGAACGGTAGTGAATTAATTTAAAATATTTGATTATAGGTTACAAAACATACGAAAGGAATAAAGAAATGTATTATTAAATCTCAAATGAATAACTAAATAGAAAATCTCTTTAGACTGACAGGAAGACAAATCTCTTTAGGTATTTTGGTTTAGATAATATCACCTTAAAATCATAGACAATTGCATACACATATTTATTTATTCATGTTCACCGATTTCTAAAATGATTAGGTTCATGTTCACTATTACTAATCCTTTAGCAAACAAGTCAATTCAAGAAGTGATCAGTTGATTAAACTAATAGGTTTCCCAGTGTTCAGTTCGTATCAAGCAAGAGTTGTAATAATAGTTAATCAAATTGGTCATTCAATTAACTCATATGTGGTTGGTCATCACACATGCTCAGACATTAACTTATTTATTTTCTAGTTAACCCTAGTTTCACGTTCGCTATTCCTAGGCATATAATCTTATGGTCATCAAAATCATAAGATGCAAGCAATCAAGCAGATGTTCATACAACTCAATATACTTAATAATTAACATAAAATAATTGTCATTAACACATAAGGATCTTTTAACAATTTAACGACCCAAAAATCGTGACTAAATTTTTTTATTTTAATAGTACTAAAAATCACACATCAACTATTAGATAATAAAACCATGAATCGTATGTCTCAAAATGTCATTGTAAATGTATCAATTCACAACTAGAGTTAATATCATATCAGAATATCCAAATAAAACTCCAAGGAATAAACTGCAACTATGGTGTGTGCCATGCCATCAATCCAAGCTCTTCCATTTGCTTGCGGAAGTACCTGAAACCAATACTGAAAACTGTAAGCACAAAGCTCAGTGAGCTCCCACAAACTATCACATACCATACAATAACATATAAACACATATTGGGCCTTGCCCACTGCATTGGACCGAAATCCGGACTAACTGGGGCCTTGCCCCTGCATCGGACTGAAGTCTGGAAACTGTATCGGACCAAAGTCCGGACTAACTAGGGCCTTGCCCCCTGCATCGGACCGAAGTCCGGACTAACCAGGGCCTTGCCCCTGCATCGGACCGAAGTCCGGCTAAGTGCATCGGACTGGAGTCCGAACTAACTGGGGCCTTGCCCCCTACATCAGACTGAAGTCCGGCTAACTGCATTGGACCGGAGTCCAGACTAACTGACTGAGCAAAACATATCAACTAGCATAAGCACATATACTGCATACTGCATCGGACTAAAGTCCGGAACACATAGCACAAAGACATGCTTGAATCACAAAGACATCAAGCACACTAAGCTACTGCATCGGACCGGAGTCCGGATCTACTGCTAACTAGACGGGTCTGCATTGTAGCCGTAGGCCCGTTCCTATTGGAAGGAAACTCACCTGAACTGCTGAACTCGGCCGATAACCCTCTGGATGCTATCCGCCGACTCTCCGAAATGCTGCTCCTCTAGCTCCCTAAGCTACCAATACCAATAACAACACTTAGCCTAAGCTGAACTATAGAAGTCAAACTAAGTCAACTATGGTCAAAGTCAAAGTCCTGGTAAAAGTCAACCTTCCAGTTGAGTCTACTCGCCGAGTCAACCCGTAAACTCGCCGAGTTCTTAAGCTCACAATCCTTCGAAATACCACTCAACTCGCTGAGTCACCCCAAGACTCGTCGAGTTCAACGATCTTCGAGTCCCATCCTGACCAAACCCACCGAGTTACCACTCAACTCACTGATCTGCGTCTTAACCAGAGAAGATTTTGGTTCTGCGACCAGACTGTGATATCCCAGAATTTTGGTCAAAGACTGTGAAGTCTCTTTGTAGTTTGAATCATTGAGTTTTCGTTCATCTAATAGAAAATAAATGAGTTATTTCAACTATTATAAGATACCAGATGGTATTTTACTTCCAAATGTGTAAATTGATAAACCAATCAAACTGCTCAAACTGAAACCATAGGAATGCGTGTGAAAAACTGAAAATCTGTGTCAAGCAGTTGTGAGCAATATAAAGATTCTAGTCTCGTAGTACATGTTTCCCTAATTCCGAAAATATAAAGAATGTCTAAAACGGAGTTCGTATGCAAAAGATACGACCGTTTTAATAATCAAAAACCAGTAAAATACTGATTTTTCTTAAAACCACTAAAATCATTTCTATCCGTTGAGGAACTTTTACACCTCAAATCGAACTTCCGAAAATATTTTTGGACTCAGGCTATAGCCTAATATTTAATTTCATATTTGAAATATTTTTGAATAAAAATGTTTATAAAAATAAAAAATCAGACGTTCTTAGATTTATTAATCGCAAACATTTAATTATTAATTTCGACATAATTTCTATTATTAGTCATATATTTCGGACTAACGTAAATAAATATAAATTATGGAGTTACAACTTATTTTATAAAATATAATGTTAAAAGTCTCTACAATTGTAATATTGTTATTTATAAGCTCCAAATCATATATAAAACCGGTTGAAAGATAAAAATACTAATACATAACCTTCATGTATTAGTGTATTGTAATTGTAATTAATGAAAATACCAATACATATCCTTTCATATATTTTTCATATATTAATGTATTGTAGTTATTATGTACATAAAAATCATACTCAAATCTCTTCTACACACGTAATCCACCCCCACACTCTTTCTTCAACCTTGGAGAACACTTGAACAATACAACACTCAAACACTGAGCACACTTAAACAATACAACACTCCAAAGTCCAAACACAGACAATTCTATACTCAACTCAAACAATGTACAAATATTTTTCTATACACGTAAGGTGTTGTATACCGATGAAACGATGCTCACTTATGCCCACTGCCCAGCCATCTCGAGTACCTCCATCTTCTTCTTTGTCTATCTTAACTGCCAAATACACTCCTTCCATTGTTATGGCACCAGAAAATCAAGAGAACAGGCCACCGGGTTAAACCAGCCAGCAGCCTCTTAACCATCCATAGCCTCATTCACCATTAATCTTCTCTGTCAAAATGAAGCAAACAAACACCCCTGAGATCATCGTGTGGATCTATCTTCTTTCCCTGTCAATAATAAAAAAAAAAAATCAAACACCAATTGCTCCCAATGATTTCTGTCAAACAATCAAACCCAAACACCCTCTAATTCTATTGATTAAACTCCATTGATTTACACTCAAAAGAAAAAGAAAAGAGAAGGGAACATTTCCGATCAAATCAACTGCCCCATCTAGACTTTCCCTCCTTCCCGTTGAGTAAACCAGCCGGAACAACCATCCGTTCCTCCATCGGTGATTGTAGATCACCACAGCCAAAACTTCCCCAAATACTTGTGCTGTTTCTCGCTTTCTGACCTAATCTGTTCACCCCATTTGAAATCAGATGAGGACCAAGAGATTTCTCCTTTTGTATTTGTTGTCTATCGGGCCAGAAAAGAAAGAAGATGCGCCACCTGTTGGCGCCACTGCTCGCAGTCAACTAAACCACCACCGAACCGATTTGATTTCTACCTTCGAATTGTGTTTCTACCTAACCAATTAGACGAAGATGAAACTTCATGCCCGTTCCCTTCGTTGCTTCGGTTCGCCGAAACCCGGAGACGACCTCTCCTCCTTGAAATCGGCAACCGCCGATGCCTCCCTCGGTCCCCTTTTTGGCCTGCGACGAACAAGGAAACAAGGGTCGAAATCCCCAAATCGAAGTTGGTGTTCGATTTCTTCTCCACTGCAACGACACTTCCTTCCTTCATCTCTGTTGTAGTTTATTCGCGTTTCGTATCCATACCCGATCAAACTAAAGAACGAGGTAAGAGCCCTGATCCTTTTTGTAAATGGATCCACTTGTGTGGATCAGTCATGGAGCCTCGATAAAACATATGGGTTTTGATTTTGACCCGGTCAAAGGTCAAACCAAAAATCAAACTTTCATTAAAATTAAACAGAAATGGTCCCTCCCTCAGTAAAACCTAATATATCAAGTCCTAAAACCCTAAAACAGTTTCAAATACACATGTTTAACCCCTGTCTTGAGAATAATTCTCAACATCAGTCCCTGAAGTATGATTTTGGCAAAATCAAATCCGTAGAGTTTATTTATTTAAAGAAAGACCACCATATACTTAATAATTAATACCAAACTACCATTTGGTTTATTAGGAAATACAAATATACTCGGTGATTCGTTTTATGAACGAGGAATGCCACGTAACAAATCTCATGACAAGTTTCCCAAAGGAATCCGAATACCGTACGAATCAACCTCACGCTTCAAGGGTGAGTGCTTACGGCCCCTTTTCAATATTATTTCGGGGGGGGGGGGGGGGGGGATACATGTGCCTATAAATTTTGTTTATACAAATATATTATCTTTTTATGCGAAAAACCTAGTTTATAAATATATTATTATTTAATAATTTACTATATTGTTACGAATAAACTAGTATAAATTTTCGTATACGTATTATGGTTATTTTATTGTAAAATAACCATTTCACACAACAAATACTACATGATACAAAGTTTTATGATTTTTATATTATAACAAGTACGTTATGAAATTGTGTAGTATTTCAATGGTTCAAGATATTACTATACATGTATATTTACATGTTTATATGCATAAAGTTTATATATGTACATATGTTCATTAATTTGAAACATTCATTTTTAGTCTTATATGATATGAATACTACCAGTTTAAAGTATTTCAAAGTTTCAAGACTTCTATACATGAATACTTTTATGCATGGCTTTACACACACATACAAGTCCGTTATGTTGAAATACATATCTCTATAAAAGCAAGTAATTTATACTTTTATAAATACGTCAACCATACTCAGCTTGCTATACTTCGAAATTCATTATGCCCGGTACTTAACTATAATTAAGTTAGGGCTGAGAGTTATTCACAAACTTTTCGTTAATGGTTTTTGAGTGAGACGCTACTATTCATTAGTTGAGTTTAATTACTTAGTCTGCCCCACACTGCTATAATCGTTAATCTACAGAGCGAGGTACATATGTATAGATCTATATGGGGTCGACAACCCCACCTGCGGTTGCTAGCTACAACCATCGGCTGATCAATCGAAGCAGGTGATATGTGTCTACGATCGTTACTATGACGTCCAATGAAGCGTCGTAGGGAGGGGTACTTTTCGTCCATAGCTCGATTATAGAACTCACTAAAAACATTAACACGAATCTCTCTCACTTTTTCATTTCAACCATAGGTTTGGTTGCTGTTAGAACATTTTTAAGTATAGTGGTTACTTATACAATGGATATATTTAAACTTTCATGAAGTTATTACAAACACAAATTTCTCTCTCTCTCTCTCTCTCTCTCTCTTACTACATCCATAGGGTTGGTTACCTTCAAGTACATTTTTTTATGTATAAAAATTACTTATACAAAACATTCATGGTTACTTTCAAGAAGTCAATACAAGTACATTTGTAAGTACGGAAGTTACTTATACAAGCATTTATTTTGACTTTCAAGGGGTTATTACAAGTACATTTTAAAAGCATGAATTTGCTTATATCAAATTACATTCTTGGCTTTTAAAGACTCTTTGCAAATACTGTTTTTAACTATCGTTATATATACAAAGATAATACTTTTTAGACTTATTAAAAGTATTACTGCATTAGCAGAAAACCTGTGACACTCACCAACCTTTGTGTTGACTTTTAAAACTACATGTATTCTCAGGAAAACACTAAACAGACATTCAAGACAGATTGGATTACAGGTGACCGAGTTTATTTGTTGTTGTATCATATATCTACCTGTTAAGGCAATTAATGTATTATTATTATTATTATTATTATTATTATTATTATTATTATTATTTGTAAAAACATTGTATCAAGATGGAACATGAATGCTATTTTGTTTATTGTTGTACTTATGCTATATATTCAATTTGTCTGTGATCCATGAACTTAGTCATACAGCCCGACGTGTTCCGCCGCCTCGGCCGGGGGTGTGACACAAACTCGCCGAGTCCAAGAACAGACTCGTGGAGTCCAAGGCAATCCTCAACAGACTCGCCGAGTTGTTCTTCCAACACGTCGAGTTCCTGCCAATCTTTATACAACTCGCCGAGTCCACCCATGTGACTCGCCGAGTCGCTTTAGTTCTTAACCCATATAGTGACTTTTCAAGCCATGCAGGGGCTCCAAACTGTAGATCCACACTTCTAAGGCCTACCCTTCACGTAAAGTTGCAAACTTTACGTGAAACCAAGGAGTTATAGGCTTGAAACACTCTAGGGCTAGGGTTTGAGAGAAACATTGTAACGCCCCAAAAATACGGTCCAAAAATTTCTTTTAAAAACATTACTAATTCATAGTTAAGTCGTTCAAACTTACAAAAGGGTTTATATTACAAATCATAGTCTCATATCCAAACACTTGTTTAGTTATCAGAGTAAAACATCCCAGGTTAACTTGTCATGGTGTGTGCACTGCAACCCTCCCGAGCTCATTTTCTGAAAACTTGATACCTAAAACCAAAACTGAAAACCGTAAGCACGAAGCTTAGTGAGTTCCCCAGATACCACATACCAGGCGAACCAACTGGTTCATACATGCCATATAAAGCCAACATATATAATCAAGTAAGGTGCTATGCGCCAAACATAGTCTTGCTAGGGTGCTATGTTCCAAACATAGTCTTGCCATTATGCCACGAGCCGCACGTGATCTTCCTAGTCAAGCTTGGGGCCACTCCTTGGGTCTTACAGATAAGTGCCAAGGGCCACCTCCTAGTCTTTTATGCAAGTATCACAAAGACAACCATACATACTACTCTACTGAGTTAAACAACATACAGTGTGCCAGAAGCCACCTCCTGGTCTTTCATATATAATAACATACAATGCGCCAGGAGCCACCTCCTAGTCCTCCATACATATTGCCTAGGTCTAACCCCCGGGTCTTCCTACCTTTCATAATAACCTACTGTGAGCCAGGAGCTGCCTCCTGGTCTTTCATGCATATTGCCTAAGGCTAACCCCCGGGTTTGCCTATCATACATAATAACATACTGTGTGCCAGGAGCCGCCTCCTAGTCTTTCATGCATATTGCCTAGGGCTAACCCCCGGGTCTTCCTATAATACACAATCTAAATGGGCCGACATTGGTGCCTTAGACCCATACAACTAGTGAGGAGACTCACCTCGCACTGCTGAACTTTGTTGATAACCCTCTGGCTGCTGACCGCTAACCCTCTGACCGCTGCTCCACTAGCTCCGCTAGCTACTATTATCAACATAACACTTAGTTCCAACTGAACTCTAGAAGTTAAACTAATTCAACTCCGGTTAAAGTTAAAGTCCTGGTCAAAGTCATCCTTCCAGGTCAACCCTACTCGCTGAGTCTGCCTACTGACTCGCTGAGTTCTTATGCTCAGAGCCCTTCCATTCGCGACTCGACTCGCCGAGTTAGTCCATGACTCGCCAAGTCCACCAATTTCTGAGTCCTGACCTGTCCAACTCACTGAGTCCCCACTCAACTCACTAATTCGAGTCTTAACTCGAAGGGTTTGGGTTTTTGTGACTTGAATCGCCGAGTCGAAGAACAGACTCGCCGAGTCCAAGGCAATCTTCAACAGACTCGCCGAGTTGTTCTTCCAACTCATCGAGTTCTTGCCCAACTTCATCCAACTCGCCAAGTCCACCCATGTGACTCGCCGAGTAGCTTCAGCTCTTAATCCAGACAGTGGATTTTCGAGACATGTAGGGGCTCCAAACTGTAGATTCGCTCTTTTAAGGCCTATCTTTCACGTAAAGTTGCAAACTTTACGTGAAACCAAGATTCTATAGGCTTAAAACACTCTAGGGCTTGGTTTTGTGAGAAGCATGCTTCACCAACCCACCAAAGACTACTGCTTTATGGGTTTCTAGGCCAAGACAACCCTAGATCCGAAGTTCTCTTTACTCACAAAGGCACAATACACGAATTGGCTTTGGAAATGGCCCAAAATGACAAAATCTAACTAGGAAAGGGGATCTAAGTGAATAACAGCCAATGTATGAGCTTCATACCTTTGTAGGATCTAAAATGACACACCAACATAGAGTCCACTGCTACTTCTTGGATCACCCAAAGTCTTCCTTCTTCCTTAAAGCTTTAAATCACTCAAAAATGGCAATAGAAACTCAATGACACTCAATGGCTGCTTACGGTTTCGAATGAAGGTAGAGGGAGTGATGGAGGCTGAGGTGAAGGCTTGAAATGATGCTTAAATAGGGCACTAAGCCTGGAAATTAGGGTTTTCCAACCTAGACCTGACTCACAGAGTTGGTCCCTCTGACTCGCCGAGTCAGTCACTTAAACCCCGACACGGGTCCTGCTCCAACTCACCGAGTTCACCCATGGACTCGACGATTTGACCCCTTTAACATAGGGTTTTCCTTTCCTTTCTTGGTCTTTCTGATTATGGGTGTTACAACACTCCCCCACTTAAACTAGACTTCATCCTCGAAGTCTGTCACGGCCAACTACCTTACCATTTAGTCGCCACTTACCATAAGGTGCACACTCCCCCCTTTCGATCCAAACCTTGAAGATGTCACCTTCAGAATAACCCGTTACTTGCAACCTTCGAGTACAAAACTTAATCCAACCGGTAATCATACCAATACTAATGATACACCTTCCCTTGATTCACAAGGGGTTTACTCTTTCACCCTACACTGTTACTGACCTTTCTAAGGCACTTTCCACAAGCAACAATCTTCCCAATTTCCTTCGAGGACCAATCCTCTTCCGAAACCGCAATCCCGGCCACTCCCAGTGCCGGCCGTCAAACCAGTACTCACAGAATGTTCCCCACACAATGCTCTAATACTGAAAGCTCCACCTAATCGTGAGAATTCAGACAATTTGTCGGGTAGCAGATTCCTTTCTGCTACGTTTCGGGCTCAGCCGAGAACGACGTCACCGAGCCAAATCCTTTACTCTGAGATCATTCGATCTCGTGATGAGCAGCTTAGCATCATCCGATCAGCTCACGGCTTTTCACACTGAATCCTTTGCCATCATTCCTTCCTGTAGTCTTGTTGACTCCCATCCGCCTACCGGATGAACCGAGACCACCCTGGTCCTAACTGGTCTACCATTACCCGGAATATCGGTTTTCCCCCATGCTACCTCGGAGATATGGGCCCTCACCCACACTCCATGAACCAAGCTACTAATCAATGCCACGGCTTATGTGTAGTCTTGTGCCACTCTTGGTCTCCAATGACCTACCGTCTTCCAAACCCAATCATAATGTGGCCTGCTCACATCCGGGGGGCTGCCTTGTCCTGAACTTACAACCTGAAAACCTTGCCACTGAATCATACACCTGATACATTCGCACTAGTGAATAGGGATCGACGACTGCTACGAGCCACCCCGTAGTCTTACAACACTTCTACACTGCCACCAAACCAAAGCTACAGGCCATCCCGTAGTCTTGCTAAACCAGTGCTATGGGCCACACCGTAGCCTAACCATACTCACATACGATTGCTACTGACCACACCACAATCTTACTAATCTAATGCTATGGGCCACACTGCAGTCTTACTAACTATCCTCACATACTATTGCTATGGACCCCACCGCAATCTTACTAATCTAATGCTACGGGCCATACCGCAGTCTTACTATACTTCTCTTACTATCTGACCATTGGTGAATGCTACGGCCATCCGGTAGTCTGACCACACCTTTCCACACCGACTAGCCGCTAGTGGATGTTGTGACTAACCCATAGTCGATCATACCAGCACGATCGAGTACCCCCAAGTGGTACTCATGTCCCAAATGGAACTCCCAACTGATTCCTCTGTAATCTGCGACCAGACATTTCGAGAATGAGGTCTCACAATTGGCAATTTTTCCCAACTTCCAATCTACACTATCCTCCATTCATACAGTCACCTGGGCCGTCTTTCTTCCTAACAGGAGAGCGAAACTTATCCTAGTTTCAAACCCCCCTTCTATTCCCATAACCTGATTGCTTCTCCCCCACTTAGCCTCAACCAAGTCTTTACTGCACGCGAAAACCCGAAGATTTCCACTCCTTCCTTCCTTACATGATAGTCATGATAACCACCATTGCTCTATCCCTGCTAGCAATCCGTCTCTAGCCCACTCCAAATACCGTATGATTACCGAATACTAGATGAACACCTCCCGCATCCTTGATACTGAAAATCCCCTGAGCTCCGAATAATGTCCTTATGGTCCGAATAACTGGGCACAGACTCCTCGGTGATAAATCACTTCCTTTGATGCTTCCAACAGCTATCCCAAACGCCAAGACTAGAACCGTCAAACCCTGATGATGGTGGCTGACTACTCCCTGAACCGTTTTTAGCCGTAACTAAGATGATACTGGACACTTTGAACCCGAAGTGAAGGATGACCTACACTAGCTACTAATAGCTCGTGGTATGCAATTGGCATAACGATTCCAAATACAATCCGAATACATGCAGAGAGACAACTCATTCATACCATCCCCTGAGTCTGGGGTAAGAACTTCCCTAATTCACACAGAAGTGAAAATAGCCATAGATACGTACCTGCAACATTCGCTGCTGTAATCCAGATCTCCCTCATCTATCACTGCAAGGCTCTACCCTCTTGCCCATCCGTAATCCTCATAATCGTTGGGGGCAGATGCGCTCCCTGCTCCTCCCCTCATCGTCGGGCAGTCGGT